TATGTATTTAACCATGATTGTTATTTGTATACTAGTTAGTAGTGCCTTGTTGAGAAAATCGAGGAAAAATGTAAAAGATACATACATGACATACAGCTGTGGAAGCCCAAATGTTCTCGACTACCAAAGTGTTGTCACTCTCGCCCATCTGTTCAGACAGCCCAACAAGTGTTCCGAGTTCGCTTATTTCATCAGATATGAAAATTCACAAGAGATATAAAGATGTTTGCCCTAAAATATTGATGTGTACTCCCGCGAATTTGATTTTGACACGAAGTCTATTTCTAAAAAGCTCCCTCGAGAAAATCTTCGGGAGTTGACAGCTGATAAACCATGACATTTTATTTCTTCTCATCCCCGAGTTTCAGGCAAAACAGAAAGATGCCAGAAAGATGCCATGAGTATCAAAATGACAGTAGTGAGTTAGTAACGCATTTTGTTTATCTGGTACACTCCGTGAACACAAACAAATCTCCACCGGAACACCCTGACAACGGTAAAGTCAGACACCGGTCACAAATGGCGGGCGTAACCGTTGCTTCAACCACTGGTTGCCGTTTCATGGGACGTTATCGTCGCTAAAGCTTTATTTCGACGGTAGAACATATTTTACTGTACGTTGAGTAGAAGGTCACTTTGATTGATTGTTGTACTAAAGGAATTTAATCTAGGTGCTCTATTAAATATCCAGTTACTGAAAACATAATGGGCCCATGCTGAAAATCGAATCGAATACGAACCTGTGGCCCCCATTGTGACAACGATATCTGACTTTACCGTTGTCAGGGTGTTCCGGTGTGAAATTGATACAGAAAAAATTAAATGGTTCAAGCATGGGCTTTGCTAGTTGAAAGCCCATGGTTCAAGTGACAGCATTGTTTAAAGCCCTCATATAAAGTTCAAACCACTTGGCAATAATGTATTCTTACACCATGTTACCAAAATGTGATATACATGTATGCAATTTTTCTTATTTCAAAAAGTGAATCTGAAAGACCTTTTGTTCGAAAAATCGTGAATTTATTTAAAACTAACTTATTTTAGAGGTCACACTTATCTTTTTGAAAAATTGGTTCATAAATAAGCGAGAAATAGACTCATCCATGCATGCAATTGATTCAGAGAAAATGCATTTCAAAATTTTAGTTCTCATAGAAACCAATGGTACGCTTATATTCAAAACATGATATGATTCTTATTCACCTAGTAAGACAATCAACATTGCTATAACTTTATAACGAGCACTTTGAGATCATGATATGGCATGTATACATGATATGGTTAACTTCAAAATTTTCAAAGAGAACATCCGATAGACGAAAAAATGCAGATTAGAAATCTATTTCACATGGGGATTCTTCCATCCGACTACTGAACTAGATATAGAAATTAATTAATTAAAAAATTGAATGCAGACTTTTATTTAAATGAAACCATTGCCAATTGGTTTGCTGAATTTAGTGACTTATAAATATGCCTTTAATTGTGAAAATATTGCAGCAAGCGATTGCTATATACATATATATATTGTAGTGAACAAGTGAACTGACATAATAATGCTAAGATCACAGACAGTGAAATGTTTGCTAGTTATACAGGGTGTTCCAAAAGTAACAGGACTGGTGCTGGCATTTTGTCAATTTTGCACTGAGTGTCTTCATATTTTCACAAATTATACTTTGAAGTATTGCAACTAAAATTATAAAGTTTCAGAAAAAATGATGAAATGCGGTTAGAGTTATGGTTACTATAGTAACATGATATCCCAATACCCGGGGCAACTTTTTTCTTGAAAATGTGATATCTAACATTTTTGTATTACTGAAGAAAGTATCTAATTCACCTAATATAATACAACATTTCTTGTTTATTTTATTAATTACTTTGTTGTAAAGATGTTGCTATACAACTCAGATTCATAATGATAGTAATATTTATTCAATTTCTTGGAATATCACTATGTATAACAGTTCGAACAATCCACGGTTGAGTTTTTGAAAATACCTAATTTGAAGCCAATCATCCACCTTGATAGCGCGCCTGCCCGCAGGCCACTATTAAATACCTTGCAGCTATAGAGGAGCTAGGTCTTGAGGTCTAGAGCCATGCACCATACTCTTCTGATCATGCAATATCTAATTTTGACTTATATTGAGAACGGAATGCTAATCAGTGCTGTAAGACCTTTAAAGATGAGAATGACCTTCTCCAAATTGTCCAATCGACCCTGCGTGACATGTCCTCAAATGGGTTCACTCATGTGTTTGGGTCATGGATACAGAGTACTACTCTTGTACTGACCAAAGAGGAGCCTATTTTTCAAAGTAGAGGATACATAGGAATATCAAATGATGTAAAACAAATGTAATTTCCACCAGTTGTTGCATTTCAATTTTGATATGGCATGTACAAAATAATATGGGTTGTACAAAATGCTTAATGTCTCTGTAACTATTTGCGTGGAATGTTGCCCCGGGTATTGCGATGTCATGTTACTATAGCAACCATAACTCTACCAGAGTTTCATATATTTTGTCGAAACTTTGCGGTCTTAGTAACGACATATGGAAGTACATTATGTTAAATTTTGAAGACGATTGGTGCATATTTAACAAAATGCCAGCACCAGTCCTGTTACTTTTGGAACACCCTGTAGTTTTGGCTGGAGGAGTTATAACATTCTTAATATCAACAAATCGGAAACATGATATAACCTCAGTATTAGAGAGGTTTCAGAATCGTGGGCCGTCTATGTCACAAAATGATGCGAAGAAGCAGTTGCTAAATGAACATGTGAACATCTCTAAAATCATCATCATGGCCACCTATAGGAGCGGATCAACATTCTTGTCCGAATTCTTCAGGCAAAATAACAAAATATTCTACGCTTTTGAACCACTTAAACTTCTGATAAGAAATTGGGATCGCAAAGATTTGGTACAAAAATACGGTGCAAATGTGCTGAGAGATATTCTGAATTGCGATGTCGGGGTACTATCACTTATAGCTAAAAGTTGGCACCATTGGATGGTTCAACACAATAACAGCGAGTACACATTTGAAAATACATACCAAATATGTAAAAGAAGGAGAATAAAGACAGTGAAAATTATCTCATTTGATAATTTGGAAAATCTTTCCTCATATTTTGGCAATGACACAGCCATTCTATTATTAGTACGAGATCCACGTGGTATATTTAACTCTAGAAACCATTTAGATGAAAAACATCCTGAAAATATAACAAATGAGGAGAATAGACTAAATATTATGAGACGCACATGTTATAATTTTGTGAAAAACATGAAATTTGTGGAAAGAATTAACAAATTACCCAGACATGAAAAAGTAGGGATGCCACTCATTAAGCAGATCAGTTATGAAGATGTTGCAAACAATCCACTTTTAAAAGCTAATGAGATTTACAAAGAACTTAACATAGAATTCGATGATCATATATCAGAGTGGATACGTAATAATACAAATTATAATGGTGACCCAAATGATATAGACTTCAAAAGCCCAACATCAACCAAACGGAACTCAAGTGCTACAGTAAGGAAATGGTCGCACGAATTGAAGAAATCGCAAATCTATGATCTACAAAATATAACAGAGTGCGCTGAAGTTATAAACATGTTGAATTATAAATTTATATTTTAGTAGGGGCTCTGAAGAAATATTTGTTTAACAATATTTGTTCGAGTGAATTTACTTTTCTTTATTTTCTCAACACGTGGCTTATTAAGTGATACACATATTTGTGTCAAAACATGTGAAATAGACTCTAAATCAATGTTTATTCTCGTCAAATGGTTCTCGATATTACATGTCAATTTAGCTTTCACGATGGCCATAAATGTCAAGAAAGCGACACTATCAGCGTTTGCCAATGTTTAGAACGTATTACCTTTTACAAATGTTTAAAGTGTCTCACACATTCGATCAAAATTTGCCATGCAAACATGTTAGTCTACTTTACTGGCCCCCCTTGCTGTAACAAGGAACCCAAAACACATTAAAACGTAAACATAAACCAATTAGTCATTTCACTATGAAAGTGAGGGGTGTACGCTGTGTGCATGGACTAACACAATATCAGTGGTCATTTACTGTGTCAACTTAGTAACTCTTGCATATCGTGCTCACTCAAGTATTGAATAATTTTTTTATGATTTAAATGTTTGTGGTTTATAAAAAACTGTGATATGTTTTAGTTAGAAATACATTAATTAATTCATTCAAACAGCACTAGAATGCGGGAAGAAAGAGCAATGGTGACAAAATGCAGACAGAATTTTCCGTAAACACAATCATACATGTACTTCATGTGTACTGTTATTTTTAGTGCTATATTTAGGTTATAGATATAATTTCACGTATTAAAATCATATTTTCCAGCAATGACTTCAAATTCGGAACCACACCCATATTACATTTTCTTCAATAACTCCAAACATGTGTAAACATTGACCATGTGCATACAAATTCAGATTTCACGAGCTCTTTCCTATTCGAGTACCTCATACACCCCTGCATGGATTTGAGTTGGATTCGCCTTTTATACGTGAGCCGACACACTCACAAACGCTGATTGGATAAAGATTGCGAGAATCTTTAAACAGAGTCGCTATACAAGCGTTCACCACTGTCTTTACGAATGAAATCAATTACGTCGCGCAAACTAGAGTAGGCTACTTTGTATTTTTTATCAAACATGAGATTAATACAATAACAGCGAGTATTTTATGATCAACTTCCTATAAAATATATTTGATAAAGGCAAGCTGACGATATAATCCATTATTTTTTGATGTTTATCATATCGTCAGCTTTCCCTTATCATTTTAATGATGATTAATTAAGTTTACCTACTCCAGGGGCATATAGCTAAGCCGTTTTGCCTGTGTACGAGCGTACATATTATACTTGCACCTCAACATATGTATACAAAAATAAAACAATCATTACAGAAGTTAAGTTTAGTTTAGTTTAGTTTTATTGTTATATACAGTGGTAAGTTTACATCATTTGATACAGTAAAATACAAAAAAAAAATTTGTTTATAAATATTACATCTTTTTTGACACAAGTATAATTCATTTAATATTGTAAATTGCATTTCTTCTTTTAAAATAGCAAAATTTAACAAAATGAGAAGCTTGCCGAGGCATTTTTTCAAATAAATACTAAAACTTAAGTTCTACAGTTGATTCTCTTCCTTCATTTTGTAAACATTTTTCCCTTATTTCTTTATAAAATGTGCAATGAAAAATAAAATGTTCCTCATCCTCAATGTTGCCAGATTTACAAAAAGTACATTTTCTATTTTCCAATTTTTCATTTCTAAATCTACCCGTTTCAATTTCGAGTGGCAAAATTCCCATGAGTAATTGTGCAATTAAAGATCTTTCTAACTTAGATTTAAGCAATAAATATGACTCAGTTTTGTATGAGGATTTGAATTTACTCTAACAGAAACAGATGTCTTTTCTCATGAATTCGTGGTTGATTGTCAACAGATATACTTTGATTCGTTTCGAACTGCTGAAACGTCATCAGGTGGATACGTGAGAATTTGTAGCAATAGGGTACTGTTGAATTGTTTCGATTAGTGATGTCGGGAATAATATTCCCTTGTGCCATCTGTTCCCATTGATGGCCCCACCATGTCATTTCGCCTTGGAGTTCCTGTAAATCTCCAGCTTCACGATTCGTTTCGAACCAATTAAACTTTCCTTCAGATTCGGCAGATTCACGGGATGTCATCGCCTTATTTGATCAATGGGGTAGAACCACGGACCTCTACCTGATTCCCGCTCTTGCTATCAAGGCTCAATAAATATATACCCATTATTTCATTGAGCCTACCACCAATAACCCTACTATCACACCAAACTAGTTCTCACTACGTTCTCAAAAACGGGCTTCAACTGTGTACGAACGGACTGGACGTACTAAGAACCGTTTGGGATCTATTTACAAACTTAATCGAACGTACTCGAACGGGTAGGTCCTCTAGAACTTAGACAATGCTCAAAATGTTTTCGTGGTCGTCACGTTCTACAATTAGAACGAGTGACAACGTACTAACGACGAGCTGGACGTACTACGAACGGAACCGTCGTACTTCAATCCTTCTAGGGACGTCTTAACAACGAGTGGAACTGTCTGAGGACGTGTTGAGAACGAGGTAGAACTCATTGCAAACGGGTTTAAACTGATTAAGAACGTATTTAACACTGTTTATGAACGAGTTAGCAAAAATATAGCTATCACACCAAACAAGTTGCCACTGCGTTCTTCAAAACTGGTTCTAAACTGTGTGCGAACGGAATGAACGTAGCTGCAACTTTCTAAGGTCTATTTACGAACTACATGAACGTTCTCAGACGGGAATGTGATTTTAGAATTTTGAATCGATTCAAAATTCGATTGCGACCATACCGTTCTGTTATCAGGTCATGATGACCTTCTAGACTAAGGGACGCGTTCTACGGCGTTGCACACCGACGTGGTGCGACCTGAACGAACTGCGAACGAGATGGACGTATTGAAGACTGTTTAAGAACGAAGAAGCTAATTATTTCAGATATATTTCCCGACCACAGCCAGTTTGAGCCCGTTTTACGACGTTTTCGTAGGACTGGCAAGAACGGGTAAGAACGAGTTTGGTGTGATAGGAGGGTAAGGACTGGATCTGCCTCGGGATCCGTGGTTTTACAAGAACTTTCAAGATTTTCACGCGATTTATCTTTTGACTCCAGCTTACAGATATATATTATTTTAGTGCATGCATCTCACCACTAGTGTAGAAAACTCATATAAAAGATACAAAATTGTTGACATCACAATTAGAGTATTCTGCATTCAAATGAGTGGAATAAACATTTTTAACCGAGAATCATAGGATGTGAGGAATATCAGATATGTGACAGTTTTCAGCCGCAAAGATCACTTACTGTGAAAGTCACACAACGGCCCAAATCAATATTCCATTGTAGCTGAAAACGTGACTCTACCATTGTCTACCATATTTTTCTTACCAGCTGCAGATATAAATCTCAAGAGAAAATAAAACCCATATCCAAAGCTCTTCCAAAGGTACTGTACCAAATCATCCCATATACCTCTACCACTTTTAGAAATATTGACCAGACCATGTAATTGAACACAAAGTTGGAACTAATGAGAGTAATGTAATATTTTATTAGTTTAATTTCGAGATAGTACCATGATCCACTATAGAAGAAAGATATTTTGTTGCTTTAAGGTATTTTGCAACTTATGATAAATGTTTGAATTTACGTTGGTATGGTGCTTGCTGTTTAATGCTTGAGGATAAACATTTTTTAAAGTTTGGGTTCGAGTTTTGGATTTATACAAAATTACTTTACTTTTATAGTTACATAGACTAAGTCCTGTATTTGTTTTATCTAAATTATCAGTAATCACTAATAAGACATCTACTATTTTCTAGATTATATTTTTGGTATTATGATTTAGTTTCCATTTTCCATCACTTATTAATACGTCGTCCTTGAGGATTTGCTAAGACTCTGGAGCCTGTGATTTACCACTTGCGTCCACAGGTTGACTTTTACGCCTGGTCGGTGCTGTTTTTAGTCTCTTATTGTACTCTCTTCTAAACTCGGTGTGAGCACAAATGTCATCAGGGCGTTTAGCCGGATTATATGCGTTGATTGTTAATGGGTTTACCTCTGCGTTGGGAGGAATCCTACTTACAGCAGTTTTACGGCGGGGTAAAGAACCAAAAGGCATTATAAGCTCTTCTGGATATAGACTTACGCGCTCTGCCTCTGAAAGTTCTCCAAATATTTCTTTCTGTCGTAATTTCACTGCTGGCGCTAACGTTGATTTGTTGCCACCACCCTTTTTGTAGCGGATCAAACACTCGTCTACCATTTCTCGCATCTGAAAAACACATAAGAACATATCTTGCTGTTTTTCTATTTGCCTGCTTTGGGACCAGATAAGAAGGGATTTGGGCATTTTTGTAGTAGAGTTTCTGCCTGATTAATGCTAATTTCGATTTTACCATGATCTGGTTTTACAGCATTTGTAACAGAGGGCTTTCACAATCACTTTACGTTATACTATTACGTTACGAGAGTTTAAGCTGGCAATATTTTTCACAACGTAACCGTGAACGCAAAGCCAATAAATCAATACAGTAAAAAGCGCGCATACAATACAAGCGCTACTTTTCAAATACCCGATCAGGCTTCAGAGCTGTGTTTAGAACGGGAGATTTGCAATTTCGCTTTGGTGTCAACGGGAATCATTATACTCATGTCTATATTGAATACTATGCTGGCATTGCTTAAAGTCTCAATTCTTGATGAAACGTTCACAATTCATCATTGATTAAGTCACAGTTACTATGGTAACCTTTTCAATCGCTCTGCGGGGCCAACTTTTGACATTAATGTTGGACAGGATTCTTGAGTTTTGAAAGCAGTTGAAAGTAGTCACATATTGTGGGTTACGCAGTCAGGAACAAATCCAGTCCTTAATTGCAAAGTATTTTATGTTTTCATACCCATATAAAAAAGGGCACCAGTCCAGCACTTGCATTCTGTACGTCCCTCAGGTCAATCTGTTTTAGATTTACACGGACTTTCATTGCAATCTCCGGATGAAGTTCCTCCACATCCATGTTTCCGACTCGTCTACTGAGACCCTCAGCACCTACGTTACTAAGAATCTTCTGACACTTTTTCCAACTCTGAAATTCAAGTAGTAGTTGGATTTGATTTGTCCATATAGAATGGAAAAATTGATATAACTTGTATGTTACCATCGGAAGTTACACAATGCATATTCCTACCTTTGTTTTGCCTTCGTGATCTCCCAACACAAGTAGTAAAGAAGACATGACGATGTGCACAACGGGCCTTGGGGTTGAATATCTTCGGATCTCAGATATCGTAGCAGCGTCCATATTCATGATAGTCTTCCTGGCGTTCTCTATGCTGCCTAGATGCTCCAGGAGACGTCGGGCATGCATCACTTCTAATGTCAATTCTGGTGGTCTGTATTTATTTACACGTTTTAGAGCCTTGATCAATCCAATGCGATCTCTTTTGTAAAGTGCTTCCACCAATTCTAAATAAGAACAGATCAAAACATAAAAAACAACAAAAACTACGCATTGTGCAACTGTTTGAGAGGACGGTTTTGTAGTGGTAGATTAGTGACAGTATACCTTCTTTCAGGAGTACCACGTGTGTTACTGTTTTAGAGGAGGTAAGTTTTGTAGTGGTAGATTAGTGACAACATACCTTCTCTCAGGAGTACCACGTGTGTAACTGTTTAAGAGGAGACAGGTTTTGTAGTGGTAGATTAGTGACAACATACCTTCTCTCAGGAGTACCACGTGTGTAACTGTTTAAGAGGAGGCAAGTTTTGTAGTGGTAGATTAGTGACAACATACCTTCTCCCAAGAGTACCACGTGTGTAATTGTTTAAGAGGAGACAGGTTTTGTAGTGGTAGATTAGTGACAACATACCTTCTCTAAGGAGTACCACGTGTGTAACTGTTTAAGAGGAGACAGGTTTTGTAGTGGTAGATTAGTGACAACATACCTTCTCTAAGGAGTACCACGTGTGTAACTGTTTAAGAGGAGACAGGTTTTGTAGTGGTAGATTAGTGACAACATACCTTCTCTCAGGAGTACCACGCGTGTGTAACTGTTTAAGAGGAGACAGGTTTTGTAGTGGTAGATTAGTGACAACATACCTTCTCTCAGGAGTACCACGTGTGTAACTGTTTAAGAGGAGACAGGTTTTGTAGTGGTAGATTAGTGACAACATACCTTCTCTCAGGAGTACCACGCGTGTAATTGTTTAAGAGGAGACAGGTTTTGTAGTGGTAGATTAGTGACAACATACCTTCTCTCAGGAGTACCACGTGTGTAACTGTTTAAGAGGAGACAGGTTTTGTAGTGGTAGATTAGTGACAACATACCTTCTCTCAGGAGTACCACGTGTGTAACTGTTTAAGAGGAGACAGGTTTTGTAGTGGTAGATTAGTGACAACATACCTTCTCTCAGGAGTACCACGCGTGTGTAACTGTTTAAGAGGAGACAGGTTTTGTAGTGGTAGATTAGTGACAACATACCTTCTCTCAGGAGTACCACGTGTGTAACTGTTTAAGAGGAGACCGGTTTTATAGTGGTAGATTAGTGACAACATACCTTCTCTCAGGAGTACCACGTGTGTAACTGTTTAAGAGGAGACAGGTTTTGTAGTGGTAGATTAGTGACAACATACCTTCTCTCAGGAGTACCACGTGTGTAACTGTTTAAGAGGAGACAGGTTTTGTAGTGGTAGATTAGTGACAACATACCTTCTCTCAGGAGTACCACGCGTGTGTAACTGTTTAAGAGGAGACAGGTTTTGTAGTGGTAGATTAGTGACAACATACCTTCTCTCAGGAGTATCACGCGTGTGTAACTGTTTAAGAGGAGACAGGTTTTGTAGTGGTAAATTAGTGACAACATACCTTCTCTAAGGAGTACCACGTGTGTAACTGTTTAAGAGGAGACAGGTTTTGTAGTGGTAGATTAGTGACAACATACCTTCTCTCAGGAGTACCACGCGTGTGTAACTGTTTAAGAGGAGACAGGTTTTGTAGTGGTAGATTAGTGACAACATACCTTCTCTCAGGAGTACCACGTGTGTAACTGTTTAAGAGGAGACAGGTTTTATAGTGGTAGATTAGTGACAACATACCTTCTCTCAGGAGTACCACGTGTGTAACTGTTTAAGAGGAGACAGGTTTTGTAGTGGTAGATTAGTGACAACATACCTTCTCTCAGGAGTACCACGTGTGTAACTGTTTAAGAGGAGACAGGTTTTGTAGTGGTAGATTAGTGACAACATACCTTCTCTCAGGAGTATCACGCGTGTGTAACTGTTTAAGAGGAGACAGGTTTTGTAGTGGTAAATTAGTGACAACATACCTTCTCTAAGGAGTACCACGTGTGTAACTGTTCAAGAGGAGACAGGTTTTGTAGTGGTAGATTAGTGACAACATACCTTCTCTCAGGAGTACCACGCGTGTGTAACTGTTTAAGAGGAGACAGGTTTTGTAGTGGTAGATTAGTGACAACATACTTTCTCTCAGGAGTACCACGTGTGTTACTGTTTAAGAGGAGACAGGTTTTGTAGTGGTAGATTAGTGACAACATACCTTCTTTCAGGAGTACCACGTGTGTTACTGTTTAAGAGGAGACAGGTTTTGTAGTGGTAGATTAGTGACAACATACCTTCTTTCAGGAGTACCTCGTGTGTAACTGTTTAAGAGGAGACAGGTTTTGTAGTGGTAGATTAGTGACAACATACCTTCTTTCAGGAGTACCACATTGATTTTCTCTGAAGCCTTTTTGATGAGACCCTCATTATCCTTACACTTGAGGAACTTGAAGTCATTCAATGCTTTCGCCATCTTTTCAACATTCCCTGTCTTCAATGCAGCCACAAGTCTATCTCTCGCCACTATTCTCCTCATATCTACGAAATAGAATAAATCACAATACTTTTGCCGGTAGAGTAATGAACAAGCAGATGTAACAATGAAAAATTGCAAATTATATCTAAGAGATAACATTTAAAGTTACCTGTGTAGTCATAAATGCCAAGCAGGTAGTCTTCATCTGAAATGAACAATGTATTAAAATAATATTCCTGGTAGAAAGGCCAAAAGAGGATTCTCCTTGTTTGATTATTCCGAAGAGAAATAGACATTTTTCAAATGTAATCTACTGTTGTATGAGGTACTAAGGAGGTTACACTTCATGGATGAGAATGATCTAAAATAGCGCTAAAATTGGTAATAAAGTAAAAAGGGAAACTATAACGTGAATATTGGGGGTGGTTAAGGCCAAACTTAATATTCACTAAGATGCATGTTTATACTGAATTTTGAACTCACTATAAAGCATAATTGTGAGAACGAACAAAAAATGTTGTTACCGGTGACAATGCTTTCTTGGTCTCTTTTTACTTCCTCTGCCAACATGTCAGCCTGGAGAATAACATGGTAAATAAGGAACAAATGACAGACCTGTTCTTGATATACAAGTTCAATATTTGACTTGCATTTAGTGTATAGGGAGCGTATATCAGAGAACTATTTAGTATATTAATGAAAATCATTTTACATAGTACTCTAATAAACGTTTTATTATTATGATGTTGAATTTAATTTACCAATTCGTCAAGCTGTCTTGATTTTTCATCGTCATCTTGCATCTGACTAATCTGGTCTAGTTTTTCACTGAAGGCAACATGTTTCTGTGACTTCTCGGTGGCCGCTACACTCCCTACCTCATCTGCTGGTATCTTACGCAGGCTACTCCTAGGGCGACTAGTGACAGTTTGGTTAGTGTGCTCAGTCTTTGTTGCCATTCCACTATCCTCATAAGTTGTTGGTATTTTCTGTTCTTTCGAAGCAATAGAGTTATTATTTGTTATTGGGTGTAAATGTTGGTCCTCCAGCCATTCTTTTACTTTAAGTTTTCCTAGCTCTTCCTCTTCAAGATCAGCTTCGTCTATATTGTTAATTGGGTTGGATTGGATTTCTTTCACTTTCTGCATTTCATGTACAGTATTATCTTCCTTGATTGATTGAGGCGCATCTGTTTGTTGTACTGGTCCAATTTGAGAGTCAAGTGTTGCAGAGCCATCGTCATCAGGAATAAAAAGAGAATCTTCGTGATCACCCGTACTTTCCTCATGCTCGGCAGGTTTTGCTTTTATAGCAAAATCATCTTCTTTGGATTCTTTACAAATGTCTCCTTCAGAGACATTCTCATTTCTCTTATCTGTGACTTCATCCTCATTCAATACAAAGGTTTGCTCCCTCGGTGTAACATCGTTGTCCGATTCAGCATTCCCAGCTGACCCCTCTGCAATTGGTGTTTCATCTCTAGTGATATTAGTATTATCGTTTTCTAGGCTCATTGTAGCACTCTCTTGTAAATGTTCATCATGTTTTTCAATCAATTCAGCGTCGATGGTGTCAGCTGTTGACGCCAATCGATCAGTCTTTCTGACTGTAATAATTGCAGTTTGGCTCTCACTCTCATCGTCTGTCTCATCTTCAATCACACTTATCATTTGTGCATTCTCGACATTATCATTAATCAGTTCCTCCTTATCTGCATCATCTTTCTTTTGTTTCGTTGCTGCAACCTCGTCAGTAATACCTATAACTGTGTGCTTGTCATTCGATTCGTGTACTGATTCCTTACACTCATGATTTTCCTTTTGTTTTGAAGATTCCTTCCCCCGCAAATCACTTCTTTTACTATGTTTGCTTCTTCTACTATGCCTTGTACCTTTAGATTTGGCATCACTGTCTCTTGATGAAACCTTGGCAGATCTTCGTTTAGAGTCTTCAGACTTTTCTACGTGGTTGACAGTAACTGTAGACGTGTTGTTGGTCATGTCTTTAGCACTGTCTTTAGAGTCACGGACATCTCTAATCTCACGAAGTCTATTTAATTTCTTATCTTCTTCTTTCTTTTGGAGAAGAACTGCAACTTCAAGAAGATCTTGTTGCTCTGAGGGGCAATTCGTTACATAGTCATTCGTATTATCTTTTATCTTTTCAATATCAGCACCTGTCTTTATCTAAAAAATAAATATTAAAATTACATGTAAGGGTAGAACGCTAGAATATAAAAAGGAACACGTACATTTTACGTATGATAAACTAGCGCCGTTCTTGATAGCATAAACCCCTAGCGATATTACACGTCCAAGCGAAAGTCACCCGCAAATGATGCACCCATTGCATGAAGTAAGTTATTTTCTTGATATAACCACGATGATGTTAAATGTTTGCTTGATAAAGATCATCGATATGAAATAAATGCCTGAGACAAAAACAGCCCCAATTCTATAACTGTATGTATAACATCTTACTTTACATTAAAGTAACCAACCTCATACACCAGAAGCCCTTTATATTGTTTTGTTTCGGTGTTCATACATGAACTCAGCTTCAACGTCGTTCCAGCTTCTCCAGTTGTCAGTTCACCACTCCAGATACCATCATCTCCTTTGGTGAGGTGCTTCCACTCATTTCGAGCTCCTACGACTACCACATCGGTTGTGTTCGAGACTCTAACTGCAAAGTGGACGCGCTCATTGGATGGAAGGAGCCCGGTTCTTGGCTCCAAGAGTTCACAATCGGTTGACCAACCAGGTAAGCATTTTGGGAATGGAACTGCGTTTAGTTTGGGAATATCAGCTTGTATGATACAACTATAGACACGTGGGAAGCCATCGTCAGAGCTGGCCTCTTTTGCATAGACACATAGATGGTATTGACCTTGGTAGGGTAGGATCCCATCAATTGTAAGGTCATCCATTGTGCTCTCATGGAATACAAACTGATTCAGTGATTCTGCAGGTGCATCGTTGTTGCCATGGAAGGTCAACTCTGTAACTACATCCATTGGTTTGCTCAGTCCAAAGCTCACATGAGCTTCCCCGATATGTGGAACTTGTATGATCGGATTATTGGGAGTTTTTGTAACAAGACCCAAAGAACTAAAATCAGCGTTGGGCCCAATTCTTCCATGTGATATTCCAGATGGATATGGATGAGGATACCGACTTATTGAGTCACATGATAGTAAGTAAGTACATATACTTGGTACTAGACCCTTTTTATTTGCTAATTTCCCAAATATATTCAAGCCATACATCCCTGCGTTTGGAAGTCGGACATAAAATGTAACTATTCTGTCAAAGCTCTGATGCACCACGTACCTTTGTAAATCAACAGCGGGAGGCTGATTACTACATGTAAGTTCATGCACGAAGTTCAATTCATTTTCACACGAAAACGTGACCTCAATCGCTCCATCTTTCACCAGTATCATTCCAGTCTCGTGAGACGTGGCTTTCAAGCCAAGAATATCAGTGTCCATCCCAGGCCCCCATTCTATTCTGTTATTAACTGGATACGGATCGCAGTTCTTCGACGGTTCTTCATTGTGAATGACGTATGTACAAAGCGGTTTGAAGTCATCATCGATACCACTGTCACATTCATTTCCAAATATGTCCAGTTTATATTCACCCGCTCCAGGGAATGATATATTACATTTAAATGTCAGGTCCAAACACTGCATGAATACAAATCTATCCAACTTATATTCCCCGAATTCTTCAGAATATATTCCATCTGTTGATATGCATAATCTATATTTGAATTTTCTTTTGAGATTTCGATCCATTCCCAACTTGATACTAATTTCTCCATCGTTAGCGTACAGAACACATCTTGGATGGCTTCTGATAGTCATTCCAAGCTGGAAGAAATCTGGTTGTAAGAATGCCATCTCTTCAAATTCTCTCTTTGCAACGGGTCTGGCTAATAACTGCCAAGTAGAGTCATCTGGAAGATGACTATAGATAAACTCCTCGGGGTCTGTGAAGAAGTAAAACTCGTTACATTGATGAGTATTTGCTGATATATCTTGCTTTAATGGTGTCCTTGTTCTTTTCAGTGATTCTAATTCCTCGTTCTCTGTTCTCTCTAACTGACAGGATGCCCGCTCTACGTCTATAAATCTCCACACACCATCTATTAGCACAACTGACCATGTCCCTCTGAGTTCTTCTCGTTCATCTTTCTCAGATTTGTAATCTCTGCCCTTTAGAAATCCATGAACCTTGGAGCATGGTATATCAACAATCCTGCAATTGATTAAGGCAACCAGTTTGTTATCATTAATGAAAATTATATCTCAAATGGCCAAATGACAAATATTACAAATAAGGAGTCGACCAAAGATCGATGTAGCTATAAATCTTTTGGACTTTCATATTAAACAAGTGTGATGTAAAATATTTCAATTATTTGCCAGTTCAAATCTCTTAGTTTGGATATTCATTGTAGTGTTATTTTTAGCGTCGTTTCTTACCTGCATATGTTATTAAATAAATCAGCGTAATCCTGGTCCCCATGTTTCACATCTAGTAAGATTTCCATCGGAGAGTCAAAAGGAGCCGGTTTATCTTTCAGTTTTGTAATATCTTGAGCGACAATCCAACGGAATATTGCCCTGACTGCTTCTTTTTCAGATTGACAGTCTTGGGTAATATATGCGATCAGTTCTTCCATTTTCCTCCCTATTAAATACTTCGGGCTCTAAAAATAGGAATTTATGTATATCAAGATGACTCTTGAACGCATTGACGACAATACATAAATCTTATAATTTGTCGATTAAATAATTAAGATTAGTTTTCACTTCACTGAAACGTTAACTATCACAACTTACCGTTGCCGCTATATTGTCGAGATGATTGTATTGTGCCAGATTGAAAACCTCATCCTTCCTACTTTGTGGTGGGAATGGAAGTGGAATATCATATTCACTCTGCACCGGGTCAATGTTTAAACCAATGAATTCATTCTGGGCATTCCTAAGCAACTTTGGAGTCGGAAATTGAGTAAACCTGACTTTATCCATAGCTTCAGTAATACTAAGTTGTACAACCCGACCTTCTGTCTTCTCGTCGTTAACATTATTTAACTGTTTAACATTTTCCGTTTTCGCATCACAGTCATGTTCTTTCTCATTTGACTTCACTTCTTCGTCATTATTTTCATTTGCAATAATAGTTTTGTTATCATCAAGTTGATCTGATTTTATTGACGATCTGTCAATTTCTTTAAATCGCTCAGATTTGTTATCATCTTCCACTACTGTATCACTATTTTTACAAACGTCATCATTCCTATTGTCTGGATTCGCTTCATAAGGTTCACTGCAGTTGTCAAATGTATGTGGCTCTACACTGCTTTCTTGCGCATTTTCTTTTATGTCATCGTTATTAACGATTGTTTCATTTGATGTCAACTGATCATTTCCAATTGAGTCATTTATATCAGGCTTAACAATATCTAATGAACTTTGAGCTTCTAGAACAGATGATGGTTCAGATAAAACGTTTGATTCTGCTTCATCAGTTGTAGAACTTTTTTCGCTTTCGTTATGCTGGTTGGTACTTTTCAGTGGCGCAATCTTTTCATCGAGGGAATCATCAACTGTGGTTTTAGCTTCTTGCTTACTTGATACTTTTAGATCAACTTCTTGTTTCGTATTTGTGTCATTTACATTCTTCTTTGGTTTTGAGCTGTCTTTCTTTGTAGCCACTTGATGAGATCCAGCTGCAACTACCGGAGGCGTCTCTGTCTCATCCACATGGTCTCTGTCTCCATTATCACCAGGAGAAGGAGTGATGTTAGAAGCCCCGTTTCCCATGCTTCCTCACTCAGCAAACTTTCAGTTTTAGTCCCGTTAAAATCCTGAACATGTTTTTACGTCAGAGAGGCAGGTCCCAAAATTACAAAGTATAGGTGCATGTTGCAGCTATCTTATTATATTGACATAATTTAGAAAATCATCGCGTACATCAAATTCAATACTTAAAGTTCAACCATAATTTCTCAGATATACATGTAGTACTTCTCGAGGATATAGACTTAAACATAAGGTTTCTCGATTAAATGGATTGCAGTTATTTTATTGAGATCAGTATTCAGGATTACCAAGCCATTGGGACACATTAAAAGAACTTCGAGATAGCCGATTATAACAAACAATGGGCTGCTTAGGAACTGAAGTGGATTTCCAACTAAGTAAACGATATATAACATTTTATGACAATTTTGCTACTGAATAAAGACCAAGATTTTTTGTCTTTCGAGTTCTCTCTGATTTTTTATCTCATTATAAAAAATTGTAAAATGGTAAAGTTACTTAAATCGCCCGAAGGCATTATAGAAGGTACAATATTATAAAACAAATACAATATATTGGTAAAGGTCAAGGGGTTCACTCTGCACTTTTTGGTTGGCCATGGTGTGGAAATATAGTTCTTTCTAATCATTACTAAAAGATGGATATCTCGAATGAGACTTTTACAATCAAAATCATTTTGACAATGGCAAAATGAACCCCAGTTTGATCAGCACATACAAGAAAAAGTCATGTTGACACTTTCAAACAATAATACAATGTTTGTGTCCGTTTCTCCCCCTAGACAGTTCAATGACTTGCCAATTGTAGTAAGAAATATGGTTCTCTACGTTCATACAATTTCTCAAAAAATTGTATTCTCCGACACAATTCTCGATTTTGAAGAAATATAAAAGCATTCTAGATTAATATTTCTATTAACCTCATAGCTTTTTTGCATGTCAAAGTCCGATTCAAAAGACCCATGATTGAGACCATTTGATGTTTTTTCAAAAGTTTTGATATCATAACAAAACGTACTAAATTGAAAATATTTGAGCAATTTTGTAAGAAATGTGTGGTATTTTGTGTTCAGATTAGACAAGTTTTTAAAATAAGGGTGTTCACTATTCAAGTTTCTAAACATGAGAGGCAATGGGAGGAAAAATGTTCGGATCGGCAGGCAGGATATAAATGTTTCACTGCACTGATGATGGTTAACTGGACGGTTTCAATAACAAATATTGCACTCTATTTTCGGTGAATACCTGTGGCACTTGAAGATCATATTCCCCTAGTCCTTCAGCCCATAAACCCATATTGAATCCCTCCCAGTATACAACCTCTGTGTATTCACCTCAATATTATGATAATATTTGATTGTTCCATAATATAAATGTGATATTATTTCTGTGGAAGGTATTAACTGAATAATCAAGTGTCCTTTATTTATTATATATTTTAAATTAATTTATTTATATATTTGAAATCATTATATACAATAACAGTGGTACATATACAATTATACAATTTCTTAAAATGCATGCAGATGCACACGAGTATAGTATATAATAAATACTATACTCATAGTATTGCATATTAAAAGCTATACATTATTGTACATTTGGGGCTGTCAAAAATAATCAAATTGCACATATATCAAGGATAGTAAAGCAAAATAAATTACATTAGAATAACTCAATATACATGATATAATCAGTTCATCACAAAATGATTATGATTAAAATAATTTGCAACTCAAGATTTTTGCAAAAATCTGACGCATTCAACGAAAACCACTGAAACACTTGTGTGAGTTTCAGCTTGGAAAAACTATACTTTAAATAATACAGACTACAAAAACAAAAACATCTCAAAATGAGGGTAACAAGAGCCAGGGCAGATGGTGCCAGCATGGACTTCCATGGACCAGCATGGACCTCTATAAAGCAGATAGAAGAATTGGGTAACACAGCAAAAAGCTAGGCCTATTACATATTATTATATGCTATGTTAGATTCACACTTTTTTGAATGACATTAGGTTTGATTACATGAATGTGTTAACATTTCATTAAATCTAAACCCTTTTTCAACTTTCAGACACCCCTTATCATATATACACCTGAAATAATTACAATACCCTACCAGTATAAACGCCAACTCATATTTACAGTGGAATGCTTATCCTGAGAGAGGATTGACTCTCTGGGTTCCATCTCAATATTCTGTCATATATGGAGTCTTGCTTTGATTAAAAAATTCGAAATCAAGCAGCCGCCATTTTTTCACCTCAGAATTTCAATTGTGAGTTTTAGTTTTATTTACAAACAAAAAATTTCAAATCACACAAAAAGTAATCAAAATATAAGTTCAAATCTTTTGGATCACTGATTATGAATTCACAGTCAGTTATAATATCAGAAAATAACGACATTTTCTATGTTGCCATAGAACAAGATCAAGTTCGAATATCGAGTTGGAGGTTTGGGAGCCAATCCTCCTTGTTCTGAGACATTAGTATGACATTAGTATGGATGATCACTATGTACATTTTGCATTGCACACATGTGTTCTTTTCATTATACAAAATTAATTGCTAGGAACTTATCTAACTTAAACAGCAAAGTTAAATAGTTCCTGATGCATGAAAGCTATTGTCGCTGACTAGTGTAACTTGTAGGTTGATGCCGTCCTACTGTAATTGTCTCTTAAAGCATCAATACTAACCAACTGATCAATGTAGTGTAATATTCAGAGTATATTTTACTACAGTCAGCTTTGTTTATTTGAATTTTCTCTGTGTTCACTAAAATGTTTTGCTTGAATAACCAATATCTTGAATAACCAATATGAATAATATTTCACTACATTGGATAATGTATGTTATGGATGAGGTGTCCCTGCTATGGATGTGTCACTGTTATGTATTATGTGTCACTACTATGGATGAGGTGTCCCTGCTATGGATGAGGTGTCCCTGCTATGGATGAGGTGTCACTGCTATGGATGTGTCACTATTATGGACGATGTGTCACTGCTATGAATGATGTGTCTCTGCTATTGATGAAGTGTCACTGCTATGGATGAGGATGTCTCTGCTAGAGGTGCCTCTACTATGGATGAGGTGTCCCTGCTATTGATGTGTCACTACTTAAATGTGTCTCTGCAATGGATGATGTGTCTCTGCTATGAATGATGAGTCTCTGTTTTGAATGATGTAGGTTTTCTAGTAGGCAGTCCTATTGTTAACTTGGATCATGTCCTGGGGCCTGCAATACATGAATATCAACATTACCCTATAATATTCTGATAAGTCATAGTTCACTCCATATGTACATATCAACATCCAATAACCCTTATTTGATAGTCCTACAGACCATTATATGTGTTTAATGCACAGTGTATTGTCAAAATGGGACTTTTACATCAACATTGCCAATTTCTGGAAAATCAAGAGGACTTGGGGAAATTGCAATGACAAGTGAAATAGATACTTTGAATAGACATAAAATGAACGAACATGTGACTTGAATATAATATGAATAGCAATGTTGGCTGAATGGACCAAAGACCTTATAAGGTAACTCTTTTTTACATTGCAAGTCAATCAAATTTAAAGCAGTTTTATGACGTACTGGACGCAAAATGCAATATTTCAATTTGGGACATGTAGATACGTAGAAGTTACTTATGAAACAGATTTAAGGAAGAGTTCTGTTTGATCCCCCAAACATATGAATATGTTACATGTAAATAGCAGACTTACTTTTTTCCTATCTTGATATGAATAATAAGAAAGACTATTCCAAGCACTATACAGATTGACCCTACAACCAGGTAGGCTATACCAAGGAATGGATTCTTGCCTCCAAGCCAGGAGGTTGTTGTCAAGACCATTCGCTTTTCTCCTCCAAATGACGTCACTGGGAAAGCTTGCAAACGTTAAGGAAGTAAAGCTGTGATAAATATTGCACTTTGAAGGGGAAAATGGCCACTTTACGGCCCATGCCCAAAATTAACTGTGAATGAAAACAGTTCTTATTGAACAACTACTGTCAAAGTTGTTTAATGATTAATGATGTAGATCATTATTGCTAAACTTGGAAGTCAAAATCAAGGGAAAGATTACAAAAAACATTTTGCCAATTTGTGTACAGTACCTTACTTTTTCGAGCAAATGACAGGTTAAGAAAAGCACTCAGTGAATAATCTAGGCCTTATTAAATGCACAAAATTGCATGCT